AGATAATTTTTTGATAATTGTTTATCTTTTCATTCTTTCCAATACATCATTATGCGTTTTAGCTTCTTAAGGCTTAAAGGATGCCCTGTTTTTTTTTTTTTTTTTTTTTTTTTTTTTTTTTTAGGCTACCTAGTCTCCCCATTTTAATGGGTTAGGCTAGTTTTGTCCCTCTTGTATCCTTTTCACGTTTCATTTATGATACTCCAAGGTACCGCTCCTTTTCTAAAAAAAAATCAACAAAATTAGCATACAAAAATATATTTGAATAATTGGTTGGTTCCCTTAAAAAACTTATTTTAATTATTTTATTTCAAATAAATTGATTCTATAATGTTAAAAAATATATATTCATAATAAATAATTTATTTTATGTTAGAAGATGTATAGCTATTTTTTAATAAAATTAACGATTCAATAGTTTTTTTTATAAGTCTTGACCATATCTAGTGAACTCGGATAAATTATTTGAAACACATTTTTAACCTTTTAGAATAAAATAATCATATATTTATAAGTGTGAAACTCGTCATTTAGAAATTCTAAGAATTCATGATATACATTATATCAATTTACTTTTTAAAAAAGAAAAAAAATCATTCTTTAAAATTTTATTCTAAAATTCAAATATAGAGAAAAATAAATTATATTTATCTATAAATAAAATCTTATATAAAATATTAATTGGATGAGAATTTTCATAAAGAATGATAAATTCAAATAATGAAATTTAAATAATAAGAGTACTATAAGTTGAAGTATATGTTAATTTTAAAATATAAAAAGATAGTGCGTTTATATATACATACATACATACTACGTGAAAACGAAAGAAAAAAAATAAGGATTAAAAAAAATGTTACAACATGAGGGATGAAAAATAAATAAAAAGTGTTAAATTTGCCTATTAATGTCCAAAAACACACAAAAATTACTTAAATTGACATCAATTGAATAGTAATTTTATGTGTATGAATAGTATGTGAATAAGAACTTTAGACATATGAATAGTTTCGATTCTTGCGCAATGTTATGGACCAAACTAAATATATTTATTTCAGTTTGATAACATATATTATGTTATTGGTTAATTAAAATACATTAAATTAAGTATAAAAGATAAATTTTGAAGTCAAAAAAATATGATTTGTTCTTTCTTATGCATTTATTCTTAAATAAAACCTATAATAAACAAATTTTAATATAAAATTTTAAAAAAAACATCTTACTATTTTTTTTATTACATTACATCGAAGAAACAAAACAATAATTAGTATAAAAACTTGTATGAAAATTAACCAATGAAACTTTTCTACAAATGAGAAGATTATTTTTTTAAATATATACATTTGATTTATATTTATTTATTTATAAAATAATGAATAATATTAGTATACAAAATTATTTTTGAATTATTATGCGGTTATTCTAAAATATTATTTCAATTTTTTATTTAAAAAATTATTGTAAATATTAAAAAAATAATAGCAAATAATTGATATTATATGTATAGATGTATAGTTGATTTTTAATAAAATGAATCACTCTAACATTATTATTCTTAATACATAATGATCGTACTCAATAGGTGAGAATGTATAAAATAAATTAAAAAATATTTTAAAAAATTAAATGGTCAAATATGTATTGAAGTTAATAGAGTGCAGTAAAAACTATAAAACCAATTTCGATAAAATTTTATTATGTAAAAATATGAAAATAAAATACATATATTCAATTTTTTAAAAGTTGATTGTATAAGAAATAAGAAAATAAAAATAGGTATTAAAAAAAACTTATTCGAATCCATATATAGATAAAATAAGTCATATTTATTAATAAATAAAATTATAAAAAAATAAGAATAAAAATTAACTTGATGAGAATTTTTATAGAAACAAATCCATTTTAAACAATAAGAGTACTTTATATTTATTCTAAAATCTAAAAAGATATCTTATAAATATAAAAAATATCATATATATTATATAATTGTTAGTTTATATGGGAAAAAAAGTAACGATTTATTTTTAAAAGTTTTAACACCTAATGAAAAAAAAAGAACATAAATTGATGAAAAAAAAAGGAAAAAAAAAAACAGAGACATGGATAGTGTTATATAATTATCAGTTTATATGGAAGAAAGAGCAACAATTGATTTTTCCAAATTTTAACACTTAATTAAATTAAAAAAAGAACATAAATTGATGGGAAAAAGAAAAAGAAAAAAAAAGGCCATGAGTAGTGCATCGGTTAGGAGATTAATTTTTTTATTTTAAAATTTCGAGAGACCAAAATGAAACAACCTCGAAAATTTAAAAAAAAAAAAAAAAAAAGAACCTAAATTGATGGGAAAAAAAAGACATGTATAGTAAAACAACTTGAAACGAAAAAAGAAAGAAAAATATATCGTAATAAAATCCAAAAACATATCATATAAATATAATGAGATATATATATATATATATATATATATATAAACACACACACACACACATGACAATCATATTTAACGGATTCATAATATAGAGCATAAATAAAAAAATATTAAAAAAATCACATACATTGTATGGAATATATTGAAGTTAATAGATTGAAATAAACATTACTACAAAATTGATTCTAATAAATTTTGACTATATATATATATATATACAAATAAAACCCTTGAATTCTATTTTCTTAATTGATTATGTAAATATTAAAAAAAACAATTGAGTCGGATTATCAAAAAGACACTTTTAGCTTTATAGATATGCAATTACGTTAATCTCGTTTGAAAATCATATCTATTTCGTCATCGTGAAGCTGCATAGGAAACATGAAAAATAACGTTCAATCTTCCAAAAATGTTACCTCAAAATCCATAATTAAAAAATAATTAAATTATTGGAAAAAAAGCAAATAAGTAAATAAATACATGGTTGCCTTTTCTTTTAGGTATTGTATAATTTGTGAATTTATCATGGTTGCTACTTTCAAGAAATATCCATGTCAACATAACCTTGAAATAGCACATCAAGTTTTCATTAGTCATTTATTAGAATTTTTAGCGTAATGATGTATAGCACTATATTTATTAAAAAGAAAAAATACCTTACAAAGAATGATGAAAGGAATCCTTAAATTACAAAGTAAATTATAAGTTAGTCCATCTCATTGTGAAATATGAATTAATTAGTCCTTTTAGTTTAAAAATTAATTACTTAATCATTTCCACCATATTTGACCACAACTAATTTTTTTTATATAAAATATTTTTTATTCTCGTCAATATTTTTATATTTTCACTTATTTTTTAATTATTTTTTATTTCCTAAAATAAAAAATTAATTGAAAAATAACAAAAAAAGACAAAACAAATTATTTTTTGAACAAGATGAACTAATTAATTCGTTCTCAAAAAGAGAGTGACTAATTTATAATTTACTCTTGAACACCAAGCTACTCCTTATAAAAATGAGGGAAAAGGCAATGGAAGACAGAGCATCAAATTTTTTATATAAAAAGAAAAGTAAAGGACAAAAAAAGATTAAAGAAAAAAATTAAAAGGAGAATCAATCAAGGACAAGTATCAATTTTTATAAATATACTAAGTGACAATGACCAAAATCAAGAGTGAAACAAAAAAGTTTTTAATTTCTTTTGTAGTGGCAAAAGAGGAATTAAGTAAAAGTTAAAGGACAGAAACTAAGCTAACAACCCCATTTTAAGAGAAAAGAAAAGATTAAAAAGCATCAAATTGGTAATTGGACGACTGCAAGAAAAGCACATATCTGATGGATGGCTGAGATCGAAGAAGATGACTCAAACCATGCATTTGAGTCACAATGAATAGGCATTATGTGTCTAAAACAAAAGGAAATGAATAGCCCTAAAACAATAATAATTCCAAATCTTTTAGTTTTTTTTTCTTAATGTACATAATCTTGGTTTCTTGATAGCAATTCAATCAATTCAGCATCAACAAGTCCCTTTCACAATTGATGAATTAGTATCAGAAATGGAAAAAAAGCTTTTTATGAATTTCCATAAGATGAACTTAACAAGGTGTTTCTAATATTACAATCATGTATGGTTGAGGTGATGAAGAATTTTGAGAGGAATAAACACAAAAATTTTTATTTGAGCAAACAAAATTAAAGCGTATTTTCAATTTCTCTTAAATGAGATATGATGTTTTTCAAGATGGCATGTATTTTATAGAAGAATGAATATTTTTTATATATAATAAAAGAAAATTCTTTAAAATTTTTATGTTAAAAGTATTTATATGTATAAAAAAATATAAAGAATGCTGATTTTTTGTTAGTTAAAAACAGTAAATATAAGAAATAATTGATTTTAGTTATCAATTAAAGATATATATATATTAAAAGTTTTGACGTGAGAAGTATGTTGGTACATGTATAAATTTTTTTAAAAGAAAGAAAACAATTTTTTTGAAACACATGGAATAATGTATAGCTATCTAGCTAGCCATGTGCCAACAATGACGCAACCACTTGGGTATATAACTTTCTGCTTAATTCCTTCGAAATTGCCAGCTGTGGATAGTTATTACAAATAATTAATTAACAAATTGCATCACACATGAGTTGGCTTAATCAATAAAATGAGCTTCGTCAACTTATGCTTCTCTTTATACGTGACTAAATTATAAAATAGTCTCTCTGTTTTTCGAGAAACTAATTAATTAATCTTTTTAGTTTTAAGATAATTATTTAATTTTTTTAATATGATTATATTAATATTTTTTATTTTATAAAACGTATTCTCTTCTTTTTAATTTTTTTATAGTTTTTTTCTATTTCTTAAAAAAAGCAAAATAAATTAAAAGATAATAAAAATAATTAAATGATTGGGGTTTTAAAACTAAAAGAATTAATTAATTTGTTTCTCAAAATAAAAAAGAATAATTTATAATTTACTCGTTTATACATACATCACTTCATTCCTCGCGAGGCAACAAGCGAAAAGAAGGAAAAAACAAGAGAGAAGCTATGGAAGCAGCAACGCTTGGGACGTCTCTCCCAGTTCCCTGTGTTCAGGAGCTGGCAAAGGAGTCACTAACCACAGTCCCAACAAGATATTCGCGTGACCCTCCGATCATAAGCGACATTGCTGCAGCTTCTTCACCCCAGATTCCAGTTATTGACATGCAAAGATTGATTTCTGAACAATTCATGGATCTAGAGCTGGATAAGTTGGACCATGCGTGCAAAGAATGGGGTTTCTTCCAGGTCATTTTATTTATATTTTTTTCTGTCTTTAATTTCTTAACTACAATCCAAAACCATTAAGGTATATATTGTTTTATATAAATAAATAAATACTCCTTGATTAACCAAAAATATGGATCGAATTGCATGTGTTTCAGTTGATAAATCATGGAGTGAATGATTCATTGGTTAACAAAGTGAAGGGGAGATTCCAGAGTTTTTCGACCTCCCAACGGAAGAGAAAAGGAAGTACTGGCAAACAGCAGGAGAAATGGAGGGATTTGGACAAGCTTTTGTTGTGTCTGAGGAGCAGAAGCTTGATTGGGGAGACATATTCTACATGGTCACTCTTCCAACTCATGAGAGGAAACCTCATTTATTCCCCAAGCTTCCTCAACCACTCAGGTACTCTCTCTCTCTCTCTCTCTCTCTCTCTCTCTCTCTCTCTCTCTCTCTCTCTCATTTTCACAAATCCTTGTCAATAAACGAAAAATCCATTAAATCAAAAGGATATGCGATGATGGAAAACTTAGGGTTATTTTACTTTGCTAGCTATCACACAAATTGTGATTTTGATGTTGTGATTATTGCAATCCCTCAATTGTCGACGCCCTGTTATCAAATAAATTGTTCAGTGCCATAAATTATATATTTTTGCCATGCTATGCTGATTTTTCACTTGAGTTGGTCCAAGTATTTCTTATATATACATAAAAGATGTTTGAATTGGAGATCATTTACAGATCGAAAAAGGATAATGGTAAGATACAATCGTAGATTTTCAAAACAATACGACAATTTAGTTTTGTAACGTGACCTTTACTGTATTATGATTATCAAAATAGACATATTCAATTATTTAGTATTTGTACTTTCCACTGTTAAATATACGTTTGGCCTTCCTTTTTGGACACAATAATTTCACGGCACATAAGGGAGGAAATACCTCCAACCTGGCTAGGAGAAACCCATTTATAGTCTAGAGAAATTTTAAATTACTTTTCCGCTAAAAGATGCCCTGAATTAATGTTTTTCGTGTGGTTTTTGTTTCTTAAATAAAGATGATTTTTTTTCTTTTTTTTTTTTATGCAAATCACATAAATCAATTTTTGCCTAAGATTATGAATCAATTCAATGAAATTATTACATATCATTAAATTTTTCACTTTAAAATGTGCATCTCTTCATATTCAATAGCACATTCATATTGATAGAATCAAACAATTGATGGTGTGGATAAATTTAGTAGGGTTTGTTCTATAATCTTTAAGTGGTCCGTGTAATAATTTCTCAATTTTGACATAAAAAAGGCAATGTGGTCTTAGAAGAAGAAAACTATTACTATGAATTATCCTCTTTTGTTTGCATGCAGAGATACTTTGGAAGCATACTCAGCAGAACTGAAAATTCTTGCCTTAAAGATTCTCTATCTCATGGCTAAAGCTCTAGGAATGAAACCTGATGATATAAAAGACTTGTTCGAAGATGGGTGTCAGATGATGAGGATGAACTATTATCCACCATGCCCACAACCAGAGCTTGTCATTGGCCTTAACTCTCACACTGATGCCACTGGCCTCACCATCCTCCTCCAAATGAGTGAGGTGGAAGGGTTACAGATAAGGAAATCGGGGAAGTGGATTCCGGTTAAACCACTACCAGATTCGTTTGTGGTCAACATTGGAGACATGTCGGAGGTAATAATTTATGCTTAGCTAATCCCCTATCATTTCCTTCGAACATTGAAAAAGCTGGCTCTGCAGATTTTTGCTAAAAATAACTTAAGTTCCTGTCTTTTTCAGATTGTGACTAACGGGATTTACCGCAGCACTGAGCACCGAGCAACTGTTAACTCGATGAAAGAGCGCCTTTCTCTGGCCACCTTTTACAGCCCCAATCTAGACAGTGAAATGGGTCCTGCACCAAGCCTTGTTACTCCAGAGACTCCAGCGCAATATAGGAGAATAAGGGTTGCGGAATTCTTGAACGGATATTTTTCACGTGAACTCGCTGGAAAATCATATATTGATGTCATGAAGATTCAAAATGGAGGCGGAGAAGAAAATTGATCTCTTCCTACTTCTCTTGTACGAATTCAAGAAACAAAATGATGGAATAAGTGGAGTCTGAGCCCACCATGTCAAGACAATTAATTATTATCAACACTGATAAGTAGACTAATTAATTAATTTTTAAAATAAAAAAAATATTTAATTTGTTTAGCAAAACTAGATAGACTAATTTATAAATTGCCCCTGCCCTAAACGTACCATTTGCTCTCTTTGGAATTGTATATAGAAAAAGATTTCACCAATTTCAAAAAAAAAAAAAAAAAAAAAAAAAGGAAAACGTCAAGAGTTGAAAATTCAAAGATACAATTAAAACAAAAAAAATTTTCCCCAAGCGACAGTCCTTTTTTACTTTTATATATTTTAAAAAACTTAATAATTATAATATCATAACAATATTTTTTCACCATACTTCTCTAAAATATTTTTTTTTCATTTAAAGAAAAAAACCTATCTCATTTAATCATGCATTATAAAATATTCTCAAAATTTTGGCAGTCACTACAAGATTTTAAGCCAAAAATTAATGTAGTAAATTAAAAATTTCCTCTTTTTTAAAGTTAAGGTCCAAAATTAATGTGATAAATTAAAATTTTCATCCCTACCAAATTTAAGTTTAAATTTTTTTAAAAAACATCTAGAGATCATTAAACCTTTCTAAATTTTCCACCCAAATTTACGCTAAAATTTTTGGTACCAAAATTAAGGCAAAATATTTTTTGAGATCTTGTTGAAATAGAGTATAAACTAGCCAATTACCCACGCTATGCTCGTGGATGCTCGTAGGAAAAAAAAATCATTTTAAATTTTAAAATTTTTTAACTATAATTTTCTATTTAATTAATTTTTTAATTTTTTTATAAATTTTTTCTTAAAAAAATATAAATCATTTTTTTTTATGAATTGAACTTAGAGTAAAAAAAATAAAAATAATTTTAACTAAAACATTAATCAAAAATTAAAAAGTATATATATAAAACTATATTTTTCATAGTATTGTATTCCGAAAAATAAAATTATAATTAATCGACGAGACTTTTACAAAAATGAATAAATGAAAAAACAAAATCTTATTTAATACTACTAAGAAGATTAATTTTTAAAATTATTCATATAATGCTACGGATAGATAGAACAAAATCATTTAAAAAATTATAATTTTTTATGATTTTTTATTTAATTATTATAATTATTATTATTTTTTTTTTTTGTGTTCTTCATAGATTTTTGCTTAACAAACATGATTTATTCTTCTTTATTTACGAATTCTTAAATAAAAATGTGTAATAATTTAAATCTAAAATATTAATGAAGAATTCAAAAGAAAATACTTTAAAAATATATTTGTTTATAAGAATGTATTTGTAACGCCGCCGCCTCAGATCATATTTCTACTACCCAAGTAGGGTATTGGACGAAGCGTATTACGCCGACATACCCTAAACTCTAAGTAGTTTTCTTATGATATTCTTAGAACTTTAACAATACATTACGTATATAACTCCTTAAGATAAAATTTACATAACATAATTAAATACATTAATAAAACATTAGAGGCAATATTTAATTTCTCATGAACTCCATACCCTAAATTTACGGACAAAATAAAAACTAATATATGGTGCCTCACATGAGCCGGTTAAGAGGAGCCACCGCATCCGTACCAACTTGTCCTTTTTTTGTCAAGACATAAAAAAATAACAACGAGGTGAGTCGAAGCTCGGCAAGCGTGGTGATGCACGTGATATGTAATGTTGTTTTGACTTTCCACCATACTCATAAATTTTAATCTCGGGTACCACGGGTATTAGCCGATCTATTCTATTTATCATCCGGGTGGTCCGGAGATCACCTTCTGCTACAACGAAATTATCCTCGTTGTAACTACCGTTAGCGAAAATCCATCGTCTAACAGAGTGCAAGCACACAGACTTGATTTCATCCGGATGATCCTCGGATCATCTTCTTCTACAACGAATTATCCCTCGTTGTAACTACTATTAGCGAAAATTTATCATCTAATAGTGCGGGCACACGACCTAAAGTACTAGACTGCTAATACCCATTTATTCCAGTTAGGTTATCAAACCTAGATGTATAAACCATTTCTCAATCAATTGACTTGTTTTAAACCACCCACTATGCACATGATGCACGTGATGACATATTTAATCACATTCAACCAAATTCGGGTACCAACCCTTCATTCTCATACCATACTCACGGTCCAACCCATATTCGGAATTTATCCATTGCTCACATACCAATCATGATACCCACAGCGAGAACACAATCTCCGCTCATTAATATTGTTCATTAGTTTCATTAATATTTAAAAGAAGGTCCAAGTCTATTTACTTTAATCCGAGCCCATTAACTTTATCCTAGGTCCATTGACTCTATTTAATTCCATTTTATTTATTCCAAGCTCATTTAGTTTATTCCAAACCTATTAATTTTGTCCAAGTCTAATTTTTTTTGGTTTTAGGGTTTATTACCGAGCAACTCCTAATCGAGTAAATCATTTTCTAATTTCAGAACATAATTAAATCTTACTCATTTTATTTTAGATACTAGACATATTTATTTATAACATATCCAAAAATTAGGTCTAAATACCAAGTACATAATTAATTACAAAATTTTGAAACTTAGGGACAAATCTGCCTAATAGTAGTTTGTCTAGAGCTATCTATACTAAATCGGGTATAACTCTTTGTACACGAATCCAATGAGCAAGAAAATTTAAAGGAAGTTATTTGAAACATAGATGAAAAATTTTTATGCTTTAAGTTTCACCTAGAAATCGATCTAAAATCCTTGAACATACACCCCAAAATTCGGACAGAATTTACTCCTTATCAACACTAATTTATTAGTTCATTCCAAGCCAACTTTAAACATGTTTTAGTTCACTTAAATTTAGTCCAAGTTCAATCCAACCCATCACCACATACTTGGACATTTTTCAAAACATCATAACATCATAAATCATCACAACAAGGCATCCATACATAGATTTATCCCAAGCATCAAACATATAACCATTGAAAATTATTACAACCCATGAAATAAACACTAACAAAATAACTTTAAAAAAATAATTTAAGACATTAATCAGCCAAAAAAATGAATCCTACTTACCTCTTTTAGGTTTGATTAGAATTTCCTTAGCTCTTTTTTTTTTTCGATTTTCCCTTTCTCTTTCTCTTTTCTTTCTTTCTCTCTTTTTGTCTGTTTTTCTCTCTTCAATTTGGCTTCTCTTTTAATTGTGGATGGCTACGTTTTTTGGCTTAAAAATGGCAGCCATTTAACCCTCTCTTTCCCTTATATACCCACCTTTTATCCTCTCATTTATTTATATCATAAGTGTTAAAATTTAACTAGGCCAAATGTAAAGTGGAGGAAGCTTGGAAGGCAAAGTCGGCATGTTTTGGAAGTCAAAGGTGATGATTTAGCTTCCAAACATTTAATTCAAGTGCTTAGGTGGCTAAAGAAAACTTAGGCTAAATAAACACATTAATAAGCTGGGTTCATGTAATTAGACATAATTTCTTTTATAAAAAATTTGAAAATTTCCATTTTTAAAATTCGAAATTTCTTTTTCCCCAAAATTTCAGCGAGTGTTACCTCCTAACCCATCTATACTAAAATGTGCATAACGCTTTCTATATGTATCCACAAATTATGCAATTTTATAGAGAGCTAGTAAAAAAATAGAAAAACAACTTTTATTCTTTAATTTTTGCTCAAAAATTAATCTAACAAGCATCAAATAAATCTCACGAGATTCAGGCGATTCTTCTCCCAAAATTTCAGCAGAATGCATTTCGAAACAACCCTCACTATAATTGGTATAACTCTTAATGTATAGGTCCAAATATTATAAACTTTTATACAGGCCTATTAAACACATAGATGAACAACTTTCATTGTTTAAGGTTGACCCAAAAATTACCCTAAAGGCCTCAAATAATTAACACAAAACTCGGGCAGAATACATTCCTTAAAACACTGATTTTGCATATTTGATTTCTTTAATAATTAAACCATTAATCTTAAGCACAATAAATTTAATTTAACATAAATCACATATTTCAAGAATTAATTTCTCATGATGAAATGAGAATTATACTTACTTTTAATATACATATATATAGAATTATTCTAATACACGTCGCGTTACGGATAAGGGTTTTTATGGGGGTTACGATATTAAAAAAATAAAGTTACAATTAACATATAGACTTGCATAAAAATTAGTTAATGAAAAAATAAAAATTTATTCTTATTTAATATTAGTGAGAAGATTTTTTTTTTTCAAGTGTATGCATTAGATCTATGTATAATTGTTTACAAAACAATCAATCGAATCATCTCTTCCTTCAGGGGAGATAGCCGCAACAATCTGGAGACACTTCAGCCCGCTCCGTAATGTTCCCACAATAGAAAGCTCGGTGGGTGTTTTAGTTCGAAAATGGCTACACTCGTGGAGCTCCCACCAATTAGAAATTTTTTTGGAGAATGGTGACTCTCTATTGCACGCTTTGGGAAATATGGAAGGCACAGAATAAAGCCTTTCTTGATGGGGAAAAATGGTTGCTGCGGTGATAATCTTTAAGATCAAGAGATGGCTAGCTGATAGCCAACCTTTGTTCATTCCTAAGGACAAACTCGGCTTTCATGAGACCCTTTGCATTCAAGCTTTATAGATTCCTCTTCTACCTTCAAAGGTGCCCCAAGGGAAATGGATTGCATGGCCTCCAACACTGCAAAAGCTCAAGTTAAATTGTGATGGATTTGAAAGAGAAGGAATATGTACTAGGGGAGGAGTGGTGAGGGATGGAAATGGGAAGTTTGTTATTGCATTTTCCTCTCACTATGTGGAGGGTGCAAATAATAAAGGAGAGGTTAGTGCTTTATTTGAAGGTCTAGAATTATATAGGAGACATAATATAGTCATTCATTATGTGGAGTTGGACTCTAAACCGGTGATTGAC